TATTACTGTATAAGTTAGGCTTACCTAATACCAGCGCTACTTGTCACATGTGTGGATTAGCACGTGATATGTCACGTGACTAGTTCTAGACTTTCAGGGTGCCTAGGACTGTTAGTACTTCACGTACCGGTTCGTTCCTTTCTGAACAGCCTAGCGCTGATGTCGTGTGATGTCCTAGTCACGTGCGGATTGAAAGACGTGAAAATCTGTGACAGATCCTCAGTTTCATGCGCGTTCCAAACATTTTGATGTAAAATATCATTATGCGCGCAAACAGCAACAAAGGGGATGTATTAATATTGTTTATTGTCCTACTGAAGATATGATTGCGGACATTTTTATGAAAGCACTCCCCAAACTGCGGCATCAAAAGCTATCTCGTTTGCTTGGGATGTCCATCGGCTTGCAGGGGAGTGTTGAGAAAGCCGAACCTCACGACTGAGGCTCGGGGACAAGCTGAGGTACTGAGGCCCTCACAAACGAGAGTCCGGACCAATGTGGCTGAGGGATTAGATAATATTTTTAAATGTGTACATGTATATATAAAGGAATGCCATATCGGGAAGATCTGTATCATCCCGCATCCTCCTTCATCCCAGACGCTCACCCGCGTTCCGTGTTCCTAATCTGAGGCTTAATATGTACGATACTATATGAATATCGTGATTGGTCAATGTCCTATCGTACGATCCCTTGGGATTATATCATTGGACATTGTCCTTCCATACCCTTCTTCATACTGTGCTCTTCGCAGATTACACAAGGAATATGTTATTCCTTCAACAGAATTGCACATGTGATGATCGGTCTGATAGGCCATTGTATGTGTCTGATGAGTAATCACATTGACTCATAGACTCAATATATGCCCACTCAACTGGTCAACATTATTGTGTCAATTAGAATTATTGTGTCTAAAATATAACATGTTATTCATATATATGAGAGCGCACTTTTTGCTGATGAGTAGGCTGAGCAGGCCCCGGGCAACTCTCACATATGAGTGTCGCAAAATAGCATATTTGAGGGGCCCAAAATCATGATTTCCTTGTCGCTGATTGCATATTTAGGGCCTCTGAGGCCGTTCCAAGACCCCTAACCTTATTGCAACTTAGCATATTTTGGGACCTGATGGGTGTCAGGAGGCCCCCAATTAAGGCATGTCCGTGTGGCTAAAGCTTGATATCCATGCGACAAGGCCACCCATGGTAGCCCCATATCAATATAAATTAATTGAGTGATTTCCTGAACCCGATAACCGTTATAATACATGCAGGCATTGTCTGCATTGTTACGTCCAAGAGCATTCGAGCCTTTCCTACATCCTCTCCTTCCCCTGAGTCTCACTAGTCACTCTAAGCACACATTCTATGTATCCTTCGATTATCAGAACATCGTTATGCAAGAGCACCATGCTGTCTCGCCAACAAATCCATATGTTTTCGACTCTGACATGACGTGACATATCATTACATAACGTGACATAGTCACGGGCCTTGTCACACTTTGCATACTTCAGGCCAAAAACTTTGCATATTTTAGGCTGATTTTGGAAGATTTTTGCGACACTCATATGTGAGAGTTGCCCGGGGCCTGGCTGAGCGCAAAAGGATGCGTCTGTGGCTGACGATACACATGCCCATGTCGAATTGGCGCCAGCTCTTGCTCAAGCTTCAGCCTGCCACCTCACCATTCACCGGAGGGACACGGAGAGGCGGTCTCAGCTCATACTAATGTCTGAGGTTGTCATGTCTCGCTCCTAGCAATTTTACATATATGACCTCCTGCACATGGTAGTTTTCATGCCACGGGTGGTCAACATATTGTTGATTCAAGTTGCCATGTCCGCCTTGGTACATCGAGCCGAGTTAATGAGGTGTTCAGATATTCATATGCATGAATGTTCTGTAGATAGTCCAAGTATAGTATGAATAGAACCACAGAGCCGAGGTATCGAAAGGCCTGCTACTGTCACAGAGCAATTTGAAGATGACGAAAGACATTGCACATGTCTGACTATATAGGCAGACAAAAAAATACATGAATAGAAATCCGGATGCGTGCGTAGTACCATATAGTATGAGGGGTGTATGACAGCGAAGATTGTACGATTTTCCAAAAACCAATAAATACGGAACCAGGACACCTGCGGCCTAGCATAGGAAAGTTTCGATATAGAGAAAGAATTGCGGACCTAAAGTACATAATGTTGACTTTCCCAGCCAGCCCACTGCGCGGCCAGGAGTTTGGGAGTCGCCCGCTCTCTAGAAGATGGCTCCACGGGGCCAAACCGATGGCCCGTCCCATTGTAGCCGCGCCCTATTATATACACGCGCGCTACTACTCTCCCACGCCGGTGGCGCAGGTCGCACCGGGGCCTCTCACATCTGTGCTCCGCGCCCAGATTCCAACACATAAAGTCAGCGTGGACGTTGCGCAAATGCGGCACCTAACTCACCAGATTCCAAAGCACGTTACACGAACAACTCAGCACCTCATCTTAGTACTCGTCCTCCCAATCCTCCGCGGCCTCTCCCTCCGCCTGCCCTTGCTCCACATCGTCCTCGCGGCCTTGACCAGAGGGCCCAGCCTCCATGGGTACCTCAACTTCCTGTACTTCGCGATGACGGTGTTGATTCGAAGGTCCGGCGACCATTGACTCGTCCACAACAGCGTTTACCCGGTTGGCGGTGGCTACGGAAGGTTCCGTCTCTGGACCGATTGCGGGGATGCTGTTTGAGGCATCAGAAGGGATCACAAGGCTGGGAATGTCGATGTCCGCTTCGGTCTGCACGCCATGGCCTGAGCGCACAAACGAGGGAGTATCGGTTTGCTGCCTCTGCGCGGGTCGGGCCGTTTCTTGGATGTTTAGCAAAATACGAGAGACAAGAATTGTGGTGAGCCTATAACATGCATGAGTACTGTCGCGATGAGCATAGATTCTGAAACTTAACGGTTTGTCTACATTGCCGACAATGTATAGGGCGTTCTACATATGAGGTCAGGATTTCATGAATACGTTCACTAGCATCAGTTGATGGACAGTTGAGTCACCGACCTGGCCAATAAGTGATAGTATGCTGACGCTGACGTCCAGCAGTAATAACATTCTATGGCGGGCGTCTCAGTTTTCCCCTGCAATGGAAAAGAATTGGCCACGTACACAAACTGAATTGTACCTACACACAGGGAAACGATGACGCAATTACGGTCCAACAACGTAAACTTTACTCACCGTCTCTCAACAACAATGCCACCAGTGAAGGCCTCTGAGAAAACACTCCAGTCGAGTTCTGGCTGAGTTGCTTGTATAGCATCCTCCAGATGATACCGACCACTGCAACATTCGAGACCACAGAAATAACAAGGTTGGCAATTGTCACTATGAAGTGACGATGAGTGTGGCTCCTTTGGGAAAGGTACAGTCCGTATAATCAGCTTACACCTGGTAGTTGACGGTTGAGAAGGAAATATAACCTGTCGACAGAACGGGTTGCTTACTTTGTGAATGTGCTCGCACATGAATTCTGTGGGAGCGTGTAGCATATTGCCGTTGATCCTAGAACAATGACCCCGGTTGAGACGTTCACGAAATCTTCTCACGACAAGAGAGTTAGTGATGAAACGATTCGTTCAGTCCAATCATCGCAGAGAGCGTACCGAGGACAATATCGAGCCCAAATAACGCAACGACTAGCAACGCAATAATAATGGTAAGACGCCAGTCACGTTCGGTCACTGCATATACTCGTAGTAACGTGACCACTGCGATAGGATGTCAGTATCTAGTTGAAATGTGGTGCACGTAAATTTACCTTGGGACACAGCTAAGATTGCGAAATCAAGACTGAATGTTGCATTCATCACTACTTCACAGCTAAAAGGCATGAAATATAACAGGTTTTGCAACTTCGTGAGCTATAGGGCTCGAAACGAACCTCTGCCGTTGCATCCTGTCAGACCGCCGTGATCAGATTGAACTTCCATCATGATACGTACAGTTTGTGAGTAGATATTCGTTATGAATGCGATCGATACAGCACCATAGACGAGAGCCAGCAGTCGATTGATGAAGAAGAGGACTGCCGGGAATGACCTTTTGCCCCAAAAGAATTTAACCTCTTGGTCGAACGTAGTGATATGTTCGTAGAATATGAGGGCTAGGTCGGTGACCGTTGCAATGCATTACAGTGTTCAGTTATGATCACACTCGCCTGCTCCAGATGCAAGAGCACAGTTCGAAAGGAAGCTATGCATGACAGGTTCTCGCAATTAGCAAACTGGCTAACAGGGAAAAGATCAAAGCTCACTTTGCCTCCAGCAGCTCGATCGGCTCCGTGGTCAAGCTCGTCATGCTACGAATAGAGGATAGGAGGTAACGAAGATGTGGGTAGCAGCTCGCTCTGGGTAGCTATTTAACATGCTTGGAATATGATCATGATTCATCAGATGCAAGGAAAAAAAGAATTTACGGGTGCGAAAGCACAGAGATTCTTCTCCCGTTGGAGTTGACTAGTCGACTGAGGATTCCGCGCAGTTCTCACAGTACGATGGCCTCAACTTAGCTGACATCCTCAGCATCTGCTGCTCACATCGAACATGCCGGCTCCGTCGCAACCATCACCGCCAGCGAGCAGGAATCATGTCGAGCATAATATTGCCATTGGAGAGCTGCTGAAACGCTGAGAATGTGCAAATAACTTCCCCATAGATGGGTCGGGACCTATATTATACGAATTGAGTCAGCGCACTCGTTCCACACCAGAAAGTACCTGTACCCTGTGCGTTACGACCATCAAGCGAGAATGATCCATCTCAGTACTTGCGCGGAAGAATTCCACCGCGTGAAAACGAAGACGCGTTCAAGCCAGCGCACCTGGGGCCCTGGGGTACCGATAAGTGATCGTGTCGCCAGCCACCTGCACAGCCGTGTATTACGTAGGCTGAAATAGGCCGTTCAATGTGCCCACCGACGTTCCTCGTCGCAGGCACTGATTTGAGACTCGGGTGGGATGTTCATCGACGCGGCGGTGCTTGACTTTGATGAGTTCATCAAAGTCCCGGTATGCTCTTGTTTCCAAGACGCATACGTGCTGATGCACAGAACAGAATACTATTTGGGACAAAGAATGCGCAACGCGTATTCGGTGAAAAGAATACGGAGGTTAGAGTCCAAGACTGGGCGCTTGCGCCATATCTGCAAAACTCGCTGTGATTGGTGGCCACAATATCACGCTACCTCCTCATTATTAATTGGTTCCAGTGACTGCAGCTCGAAATTGGCTGCATCCCGAGGATAATCATTAGCCGACTCAAACTTAAAACACCAAAACACCGCCAATTATCCTACTTCAGCGGAAATGACAGACCAACCTCTTGTTCACGCGAATATCCCCAATCAATGGTTGGTCATTCACGAAAACTCATATAAATCCACAGTACGCGTACTAACTACGAACTACAATTACATTGAATGTTCGTCACCGTCGCAGGACATACGACACATGGCACGAGACATATCAGGAGATGACAGGAAAGGAAGGGCCCTAGGATGGGTGCGGACGGTGCCGCGGATATTTCGTCGCGCGGGCGACGCTAGAGAAACGGACCTGAACACTGACTGCACAGGGATAGGAAATAGTTGTATGGGATGCATTGAGTGAGCCGAGGCGAAGAGGATGGCGACTGGGATGATGGTCGTTCAATGCTGCGCCCAATCGATGCTGCTGATGTCGATGCCGTCTTGAACCATCTCCCACAGCGGGCTACCATGACACCAAAAGTCAGCTACCAGTCATCAAACGATAGATTGTAACATGAGCACGCACCTCATGTCCCGCAACCATTGCACAACCGCAACGATCTTCTCAATCACGTAGTCGACCTCCGCCTCGGTCGTGAACCGGCCCATGCCGAAGCGCAGCGACGAATGCGCCATGTCTTCTGCAGCTCCGAGTGCGCGAAGCACGTACGATGGCTCGAGCGAGGCCGACGTGCACGCACTTCCTGACGACAATGCGATATCCTGCAACGCGAATCCGAAGTTAGCACGGACCCCACAATGAATGACCATAAAAACGCACCTTGAGTGCCATGAGCAGACTCTCGCCCTCAACATACGCGAAGCTAAGATTGACACAGCCGGGATAGCCGTTGGTGTCACCGTTTCGCACGACGTGCTCGACCTTCGCGTTGATCCCCTTGATGAGACGCTCAGATAGTTCCTTCACGTGCGCGTGGTCTCGCTGACAACACAAACAATAAATCAGCATCAAAATCTGACGTCGAAGGACAAAGCGGATAACGAGGCGCTCAGTACCCCTGCACGGTACATCTCAGCTCAGCCGGCACAGCTGACACGAGTCCAGACTGCATTGCCGCTGATCTCATGGTACAAAGGTACGTGCAAAGCTCCATCAGCGCGCCTGTTCAAGAAACTTGCACCCACCGCCATCTCCTGCTTCGCAGTCCTTGCAGCCTCACCCATACCCGCAACCAATGGCGTCGCTAGCGTCCCACTCCTCAAGCCTCGTTCCTGTCCACCGCCGTTGATAATTGGCTCCAAGCGTACACGAGGCCGCCTGCGGACATAGCACGCGCCGACGCCCTTGGGACCGTACAGCTTGTGCCCCGAGAGACTCATGAGGTCGACGTTCATCTCGTTCACGTCGTTTGAAATCTTGCCCGCCGCCGACGCGGCATCCGTGTGGAAGTGCACGCCGCGATGCCGATGAACGAGCGCGCCAATCTCCTTGATCGGCTGGATGGCGCCCGTCTCGTTGTTCACGGTCATGATGCAAACCAGTGCAATGTCTGGCCGGATGGCCTTCTCGAGCTCAGCGAGTCGACGATACCATTCTATTGCACAGCAAGGTAAGTCACATCGAATCCCTCGTCTTCTAGCTTCCGAAGGAGTCAAGCAGGCATTTGTGTTCCTAAGATCAAAGAGAAGAGTGAGCGAACCAAAGTTTAATGGACGGCTTTAGCTCCAAAAACGTACCGTCTGGGTGGTGATGATGTGCTTCCTTTTGTCCTTGTGGGACCACGCAACGCCCTTGATAGCCATGTTATTTGACTCAGTCGCGCCCGAGGTGAATACGATGTCATTTGAGTCAGCAGCGCACTTGTTCCAAACCAGAAAGTGCCTGTGCCATGTGCGCTATGACCGTCAAGCGAAGAGGATCCATCGCATACTTGTGCAGACGCAACCCGCCCGGCAAAAACGAAGACCCGTTGAGTGCTTTTGGGCCCCTGAGGTGCCGATATTGGTGATCGCGTCGCCAGCCTCGGCCACAAGGAGGCTGTATGATCTAGGCGAAACAGGCTGTGCAGTGGTGCCCGTCGTAGGCGCTGATCTGGGACTCAGTAATCTCCGCGTCCGAAAGATATGATTGCATTCTGTCGATAACCGGTGCTTGGTTTTGATGAGTTCATACAGATTGTGGTACACTCTTGTAGCCAAGGTTTTGAATGCACACGTGTTGGTCTTCACAGCAGAAATACTGTGTAGGACAGAATCATGTGCAACGGTCACTGTTTGCTCATCGGTGGAAAGAAACACAGAGGTTGGAGTCTCCGAGACTGGGCACTTGCTCCAAATCTGCAAAGCGTGTTGTGATTGAACGCAACTCGGGGACATATTGGGAGATGACAGCAAAGGAAAGGCCCTGGAATGAGTGGGGACGGCGCATGGGATATTTCATCATTGAAGCGACATGAGAGAACGAGACCTGCACACTGACTGCAAGACCTGAACAGTTACTGCACATGATTAGGGAATGGTCGTACGGGATGCAATGAGTGAGCCGAAGCGGAGGGCGGGAGGTGACTAGGATGGTCCGACGCTTAGTGCTGTGCCCAGTCGATCGTACTGTGGTCGATGCCGTCCTGGACCATCTCCCACAGCGGGCTATCAGCACACCAGAGGTCAGCTACTAGTGACCAAACGATAGATCATAACGTGAACACGCACCTCATGTCCCGCAACCGCTGCACAAACACAACAATCTTCTCAATCACGTAGTCGATCTCCACCTCGGTCGTGAACCGGCCCATACCGAAGCGCAGCGACGAATGCGCCATGTCTTCTGCAGCTCCGAGCGCGCGAAGCGCATACGATGGCTCGAGCGGTGCCGACGTGCACGCGCTTCGTGACGACAATGCGATATCCTGCAGCACATACCCAAAGCTATCATAAACCTCACACAATGAATAACCGTAACGACGCACCTTGAGTTCCATGAGAAGACTCTCGCCCTCCACCTACGCGAAGCCAAAGTTGACGCAGCCAGGGTAGCCGATCGGGTCTTCGTTTCGCACAACGGAATCTGTATCTTTCCAGGCATCAGCGAATCTCCCAAAGTCACGGAGACGTACCCGTTGATTGGGATGAGTGTTTTCACAGGGGCGATGCGAGAGAGTCTGCGTGGCTATCACGGTGCCGTCTGGAGCTCGTACGGGCTGTGACGCAATCCGATCGATGTCGCGTCGCCGTGACGATCCTTCTCGGTTTCTTGCCTATGGCAGGTACGAAAGGACCTCTCGCAAATCAAGGACCTACCGAAACGCCTATACAGCTGCAGGCATTCTCCATCCGTGTCCTGTTCGGAGATGTTTGCAGTGCGGGAGGCCGGGGCATGTTCGTCGCGAGCACGAATCGCGAGTTACTTTCACTTTGACTAGCAATGCCATTCATTTAGATTGCATAGAAGACGATGCTAGGAATTGAATAGATGTCAAATGTCGAATGCTCTATGCTGTTGCCCTTGTTGTTGAAGCAGGTTGTTGAAGCAGGCTGAGCGCAAAAGGGCGCGTCTGTGGCTGACGGTACGCGTCTCCATGTCGAATTGGCGCCGGCTCTCAGCTGCCTCACCATTCACCGGAGCGGAACGGGCACGCGATCTCAGCTCATACTACTGTCTGCGGTTGTCATGTCTCGTCCTTAATACATCACCTGCTACATATAGTAGTTTTCATGATACGGGTGGTCAGTAGGTTAAAGTTGATCGCCATGCCAGTGTCGGCGGCTCTGTTCAACCACACCTCTGTCAATAGGAACCCGATAGATAATAGATCTTCATATGCATGAAGATCCTGCAGATAGTCCAAGCATAGTATTGATAGAACCACAGAGTCGCGGTATCGAAAAGTCTGCTACAGGGAGCAATTTGAAGACGGCGAGAGACATTGCACATGTCTGACTACATAGGCAGACAACGTATTACATGGATAAAACAGGATGCGCGCGTAGCACGTACAGTATGAGTGGCACTTGACTGCGAAAATTGTACCGATCTTCCAAAAACCAATAAATACGGAACGAGGACGCCTGCGACCTAGTATAGCGAAGTTTCGATATAGAGAAAGAATTGCAGACCTAAAGTACACAATGTCAGCGTGGACATTGCGCATATGGGAACAAACTCACCAGATTCCAAAACACATTACATGAACAACTCCAGCTCCTCGCCTTAGTAGTCATCCTCCCAATCCTCTTCTTCCTCCCAATCCTCTGCGACCTCTCCTTCCGCCTGCCCTTGCTCCACATCATCCTCGCGGCCTTGTCCAGAGGGTCCAGCCTCCACGGGTACCTCAACTTCCTGTACTTCGCAATGGCGATGTTGATTCGAAGGGCCGGCAATCATGGTCTCGTCCACAACAGCGTTTGCCTGGTTGGTGGTGGCTACGGAAGGTTCCGTCTCTGGGCCGATTGCAGGGATGCTGTTGGAGGCATCAGAAGGGATCACAAGGCTGGGAATGGCGATGTCCGCTTCAGTCTGCATGCCATGGCCTGAGCGCACAAACGAGGGAGTATCGGATTGCTCCCTCTGCGCGGCTCGGGCCTTTTCTTGGATGTTTAGCAAAATACGAGAGACAAGAATTACGTTGAGCCTATGAAATGCATGAGTATCTTTTGCAATCAGCATAGATCTTGAAACTTGTGAAAGCGACGAGTGTTATCTCAGTCGCGCCGTACGTGGACGTACTCGACTTTATTGAATGTATCGTACCTGTGAAAGCGACGAGTGTTATCTAGTACAGTACCTATGAGTCCTGACTATGCGAAGTAAAGTAAAGTCCGTTACTTACCTCAGTCGCGCCGTACGTGGACGTACTCGACTAAGGTGCTACTACCGAGACGCGTCGCTCTGTGCCTACGCGCCGATCACATGTCCGTGCTGTCAAACCCGGGCTCCCCATCCTCCCCATCGCCCTAGAGCGGCCGCACTCCAACACTCCCCCTAGGCCGCGACACTGCAAGAATTGAGAAAAAAAAACGAAAACGAAATAAGAATAGAGGGGAAAAAAATAAATAAGTGGAAGGATCTAAGCCGTGAAACCAAGGAACTCAATATGCTTGAGATGAATTGGTTGAGAAAGGGCCTTTGTGAAAATGTCTGCCGGATTGTCGGTACCAGGAATATGGGTTATCTGAATCTGCTTCTGTCGAATAGCCTCCCGAAGCCAGTGATACCGAATGTTGAGATGCCGGACCCAGGTGAAATTGACCGAGCGTTTTGCCAGGCTCTCGCCGCCTGCGCTATCCATCCTGAGGCTGACTTGTAGAGAAATAGGAAGATAAATGTCACCCATGAACTTCTCGATCCACATTGTGGTCTGCCCTGCATGCACTGCCGCAATATACTCTGCCTCAGTGGTGGATAGTGTGACCACGTCCTGGCGCAGTGAGCTCCAAGTAACTGGGCCGCCGGCCATCACCATGACGTGTCCCTGGGTCGAACGTCCCGTGTCTGCACAGTCAGAATAAGATGAATCAGAATAAATTGTAGGCTCGAGGGAGGAGTGCGCATGATCAGAGCTGTAATAGACGATGCCGTAATTGACCGTCCCTTTGATGTAACGGAGAACACGTTTCAGCGCATGCCAGTGTGCTATCCCAGGGCTCGCCATGTAGCGGCTCAACATTTGCACCGGGTAGGCCAGGTCTGGATGTGTAGCGACCGACAGGTACATGATAGCACCAAGCGCCTCGCGATAGGGCACGGTAGCCATCTCAAGAGCCTTGTCCGGAGTAACCTGCATAGTGGCCTTGACAACTTGCATCCCAGGCTCCAGTGGTGTAGACACCGGATTCGACTCCTGCATATTGAACTGTGCCAAAACGCGCTGCGCATAAGCTGCTTGAGTAAGTCACAGCGTACCTTTTGCCCGGTTACGTTCGATAGCCACTCCGAGCATATACTTCAGCTCTCCACCTCCGCTGAGCTTGTATCGTGCTGCCAGGTCTCTCCGTGTAATCGCCAGACCCAGAGCAGAATCGGAGGCTGATGTCATGTCATCCATGTAGGTGGCCGTAATGGAGAGCCCCTTGTCGTCAATCCGGGCATGCACGCATTCATCTGCACGAGAACGGGAGAACCCTAGATCAGAGTAAGTGGCATCCAAATCCTTCCACCACTCGTTATCGGACTGCATGACGCCATAGAGAGCGCGATCCAATGCGCATACCCAGCCAGGATGCTCCTGATCCTCATAGCCCAGTGGTTGCTCCATGAAGACCTCCTCGGACAACGAGGCATTCAGGTAGGCCTTCTCAACATCATCTTGCCCCATCTCCATCCCCCGGTAGGTAGCCAGCACGCAAACCACTCGGAGGGATTCAAAGCGCACGACGGACGCATGGGTCTCGAAGTAATCCACCCCCGCAATTTGATGAAAGCCCTTCACCACGAGACGGGCCTTCGGTTTCCATTTGCCACCCTCGTTAAACTTCTGTGCATATGCCCATTTGCATCCAACGACATTCATGTCAGTTGTCTGCGGTACCAGCCTCCATGCCCCTATCTTCTGCAGGCCTGATATCTCCTTCTCCATCGTGGGCTTCCAGACATCAGCATCGGTCATGGCCTGCTTGAATGTGGTGGGGCACGATCCCCCTTCATGGATGAAGGCATCGGAATCAGCTGGCATGTCAGAATCTGCGAGGAATGCGATGTAGGCTTCGGCAGCATGAGGTGCGTCGTTGGCCCAAAGCTCTCCCTGTGCTCAGGCTACATCCTCTCGTTCAGCTGCTTCCTTAGATTCGCGTAAAGCGCAGCACTCCACTGGGGTCCTGCTGGATCGTCGCAGTGGGGCAGGTTGCTCGACAGAAGGGGTCGGAGGTGGCGACGGTGACGGTGGTAGAGGCACAGGCACCATGTCCTGTAGCATAGGTGGGGCGGGATGCTCAATGACGATCGCTTCGGCAGTCCAATGAGGGGCGCTCTCTTCGAAGATAACGTCACGAGATCGTACAATTGCTCCTCGAGGACCTGCTGTGGAGTCCCATAGTCGATAATTGGCATCGTCAGTGTAGCCAACCAGTCGACATTGACGAGACTTTGGATCCAGCTTGGTGCGCACATCGTCGACCACTTTCACCCATGCCTTTGAACCAAATACACGCAAATGGGCAACATTAGGTAGACGATTGTACCAGCATTCATATGGAGTATGGCCTCCTTGACACGCGGATGGAACGAGCGATTTCAGATATGCACTCGTGTGGAAAGCCTCCGCCCAGAGATAATTAGGAAGATTTGAGTCATAAAGCATCGCCCGTGCATGGTCAGCAAGTGTACGATGCCCCCGCTCACTGACGCCGTTCTCCTGAGGGGTGTACGGTACCGTCGGTTCAGATATGATCCCGTGCTGCTGCAGATAGGCAGTCCACACGTCGTTGATGAACTCAGTTGTTGGAAGGAGAGTGCGCGTGGCACTCAGGTACGCTCTTGTCGTAAGCGGGGAGAAGTGGCCGGTCAGACGGTCGGAGCGACGTGCCCTAGCAACGAGTGGGTGTCGTACGATAGAGTCTGACCGTGGCATTAGTCAATAAATAACGGACCGAGAAGATGTACATATCTCGGAGTTTACTACGTCTAAACGACTCTAACGAGGTCCCTGGACAATGGACTCGTCTTTGCTGTGCTCTCGCTGTGCTTAGACCGGGAAACTCTGAGATAAACTACCCCCATACCTTATTCTTTGACCTCTGCTGCATCTGCTCGCATTCTCTCTGTGCAACTGGCATCAACCTGACATGTCCGAGACAACCGAAACCACGAAGTTCCCTCTCTTGGGTGAGGGCAACTATGGCGAGTGGGCGATCCAGATGGAAGCGGAGCTGATCAGGAAGGAGCTGTGGGAGGTGATGACGATTGAAACATCGCCACCGACGGATGCGACGGAGATGGAGGCAGCAGTGTGGCTGGAGGCGGAAAAGGCCAAGCGCTTGATGACCAAGATGGTGAAAGCACGGGCAGAAATGGTGCTGCGGGTATCAGCAGGGCAGCTGGTGCACCTGGTGAGTCGTGACCCTATGGAGTGCTGGGCGACTCTGACGCAGGTGCACCGAGCGTACGGGTTTGCGACCCGACTGGCGATGCGGCGATGCTTTCACAGGGCGGTGTGTTGAAGGAATAATATATTCCAAGTAATCTACGAAGATCAAAATATGAAGAAGGGTATGGAAGGGCATTGTCCAATAGTATAATCCATAGAGATGGTATGATGAGACATTAGCCAATCACGATATTCATGAAGTATCATACGATAGAGAGTAAATATGCCATTGGCCAGTACACACAGCCACAGGTCATGTGTTAGATACTGTAGTATTACTCATCTATGTAGATAGACATGGCTGTAGATACCAGAGGTCCTAGACCCGGTATATGGGGTTTTTACCCACATGTATATATACCAGGTAGCTACACCAGAATCTATAGTGACTTCTCCACTGAGAGACTCGACCCCTTAACTGGGAGTCTTGTAGCCTTGCCCACTAAGTCCTCACTGCACAGTGTCAAGCCTGCACCTGCTGCTGGTAGCACACAGCTCATTTATCAGGTTATGAGCCCCGCTTCAACCTTGACACCCTGCAACTGCGCTCTTTAGCGCTCAACTAAGTCACCTGACCAGTTACCCATTTTGGTATTCCCTTATTGGGAAACCATAACATTTATTATTTGTGATAAGTACCTTATTGGGAAAATCCAAAAATAAATTAGGCATTTTTGCGCCTGTATGGGCGCTATATAAATACACATGTTTGTTGATTAGTACCTTTTAAGAGAATGCAACTTACATTTATTTTTCCCTCCATTTGATCCTCCAGTCACAGACTGACGTCGACACTATCCCATACTGTCACAAAGCACTAAAGCACTTAACCCAATTAAGGGCAAGTCTGCTTTTGTGACCTGCACAAATGATCTCACATAAAAAGCCTGCCACAAGGGCTAGGCTGAGGACACGCACAGTGGTATGCAGTCTGAAAAAGGGGCTCAAAGGGCCCTTAGCCTTATGCTCACAACTAGGGAGTGAATTGGCTGGTTAGGCCGCATACAATAGAATAATGAATCTAAGGTCCTCCCTTAGATCCTCATGGGCTTATATACATGTAGGGGTGGACCCTGGTCACTCTAACTAAGGTGTACCTACTGGGGTCCTGTCCTTTCTACATGTGAACATATTGCCAAAACCAGTAATGGTTCTGGACTTTGTTATAGCAACTATCTACAATGGCCGTGGATACGCTGAGGTAATCCTATCTAATCCAATGAGATAAATGCCTGTAAGTGAGCCCACTGTTGAGGGGCCAATGGGTGATGGCCAACAGAGCACATTACAATGGTTGCAACATCAGATGAGAGGATCTGTCCAAACTCAGAACAATGAGTGTGACGATCAGTCTTCATCTGGATAGGGTTGTGAGAAGATCTAGCCTATCCTGTACCTGGCTATACTGTATGCCAGTTGGTAGGGGGATCCTCTGTTGTGGTATCTGCCTATTGGTTTAGGCAGCAAAGTGGTGCCACTATCTTGAGTGGCGAATTGGGTGCTTGCTAGCTTGATGGTCCAATGGGTTCCTTTCTGGGCAAGTGGCCTGGTGTCACGTGACCAACTCCTAATAACTTCCAAATAGGGCAAGTGGCCAGTGTCACGTGACTGGGTGGCTGAATCATGGGTGCTTGGTGATCATGTGGTAGACACAGTCATGTCCGTGATGTATGTGGCGGCATTGTGCTGTTTGTCCAAGTATCCACGTTGCGAGACCAATATGAAGGTTGGCATCCGAATAACCACTCAAATGAGGACTTTAATGGTGCAAAAAGAAAGGTGCCACTTAATACTGTGACACTACCCCCGCTTCAAGGTTAGACTCCGGATGAACTGAGTAAATGCTAAGGTAAATGGTACCCTCGCTTCAGGTTCTGACTTCCAGGGTGGAATGGCAGGGTGTGTTGTGTGATTGGTATCTAAGACTTTTGCTAGCAGCAAAAAGGGGTGATGCAGTTTAATGACTTGCTCAGGTAAATGGTGCACTTGTGGGGCTAACAGTTCTTGGTCCTAGATGTCTGATGTCACAGACAGTGCTATTGGCTGCTGTTGCTCAAGATAGCATGCAAAAGGGCTTGCAGTTTAAAGGCATGTGCTTGGTCATTCGTGGTGCTCAAAGCTGCCAAAATGTGAACAGTTTAACAATGTGCCGAGGTCGTTGGTGGTGATGCATTTGACTTGATCGTTGCATTTAAAAAGTAAGGGTTATAGATGCAAAAACATAGTTTTTGATTGTGGATGCAATCTCCTTATCCTCGGTCTTCGGTCAAGATCTCGTGCTTCTGTGTTACGGCTGTCGAGTCAGAAATTATGTCATGATATTGTTTGCCTCCACTGAGATTCGACCCTGTGCTCGTTGGGGGTCGAGCGGGACCTGAGAGTGTGTCAGGTGATCTCTGGGAGACTTAAACATCATGGCTTAACCCCTAAGCCACTTGAACAGTGAAGTACTAAGTTCGAATCTCGACCAGTATATGTTTTTTAACATCGATAAGATAAGATTCTATGGGCGCCTGGTCACGTGTTTGAAGGTATGACATATTTTGATCGATTGTGATCATGTTTGATCTGTCAATCGAGTCATGATAGACTTTCTGATTGATCGTGATCTTGGTTGATCCGTGATCCGTAATGATGTCATACATTTGGTGGCGCTCAAAGCTGCCATAGTGGTGTAGTTTTAATGACTTGCCCAGGTCATTAGTGGTGCTCATAGCTGCCAAATGATAGGATGCCCTTGGTCAGAGGGCTGTTCCAAAGATTGTGTCTTGTACCCAAAAGGTTGCCTATGTCTTTTTAGGATTTTATATAGAATAGCTGCCATGTTTGCATTGTTGTATGCAAGTAGATGCGTTCCCCAACGCTGTTCATACTTGTTGGCAATGGTCTCTCAATTGCCCTTTAGGTTGGCATGCTATGTAGGCAAAAGTTGAAAAATGGAAGGTTTGAAAATGTGATCCTTTGGCGCTGCTTGGATCATCCTTGACTTGCTCATGCTCATCTTCGAACATGTGATCCTAATTGCTTCACGGATCCTTCCCGACTCTTCGAATAGGACATGCGCTCGGTACTTGCTATATATCTTTGAGTGCTGCACTTCTTATGCGCACGTCTTCAGATAAGCTCGTACATACTCGCTGTATCCTACATTACCTCCCCCTTGCCAGGTTCCTCCCAGAACCGAAGCGGCATGAGCGAGTTAAAACAAGACTGAGAGGCACAAAAGTAAGGGAGGGTGGGTGGGAGAAAAAGCCTTATAACTTTTGGGGAAAAGGTG